CACAAAGGCACACCTGGGTTTCTCCAGGCCTTAGGACATGGTTCAGTCTTTGAGACCTCATCTTCACACTGATTTGAAGGAGAACAATTTATCAATTCAAAGTTTCCCTACCTGAAATTCAAATCAAGAACTCTGTGCCTAAAGATGGTCACTAACATTTAGGAGAAAACAATTAAAATTGTACTTTTAATGTCCAGAACAGGCAAATCTATAGAGACAGAAAATACAATAGTGGTTGACCAGGGCCAGGGGAGTTGGGAGGAAATGGGGAATGACTGCTAAAGAGAATGGGGTTTCGTCTGGAGTGATAAAAATGTTCTGAGGTTGATTATGATGATGGTTGCACAACTCCACGAATGGACTAAAAACCATTGAATTGGGTGCTTTAAATGAGTAAGTTGTATTGGTAATGTGAATTATATCTCAATAAATTTGACATTTTGAAAATTGCATTTCTGCCTCCCCCACTTTGGACTTTCAGAATAAGGGTACTCTATCTGAGAAAGGAGAAGTCAAATTTTAAAGGGTAATATCCCCAGCAACAAGTCAGAAATCAATTGTCAAAATGGAAAGAAACACAGTTCCTGAAAACCCACACCATCCCTCAAAACCAACAGCCTAATTCACTTTCATTTCTATAAAACCACATTTGGTTTTCCCTTAAGTCCATGAGACAGCCAAACATGAAGTCCAATGTTTGCAAATTCTGCAAGGTTTTCCTGCAACACAGAGAGGCAGCAGGCCTAGCTACTTAGCAGGGAAAGTTAATCTAGCAAAAAGGTTGAAAATTTAAGCTTTCAGAATATTATTAGGAACAGAAGAGATGTAAGGAGGTTTACTTTTTTGTTCCTTTTTAACTTGTAGAGCTTTTCTGGCATAATCACAACTCCAGGATTCTGCCCACCAGTGGTTAATACAGTAGGCACTTCGTATTGGTAGGTTCATGGAACCCATGGAATCTTGTAATTTGGATTCAACCAAACACAGATCAAGATTATTCAGGAAAAAAATAATAAGAATAAGAAATAACAATACAACAATAAAAATAATACAAAATGCTAAAATATAGTATAACAATTATTTCCAAAGCATTTGCATTGTATTAGGTATTATAAGTAATTTAGAGATTATTTAAAGTATACAGGAATGTGTACGTGCAAACACTATGCCATTTTATATCAGGGACTTGAGCATCCTCTGATTATGGTATCCACGGAGGTCCTAACCAATCCCCTGCAGGTACCAAGGGATGACTGTACACACAACTGTGTAAGTTACCCATAATTGGCATGAAAGAGGCATGGGCCTAACTCCCTGCACCCAAGCCAAAAAAATGTCCCTCTGCTCTTAGTGACTTTTGCTCTAAGAATCATCAAGTCTTGACAACCCTGAATGGTAGAAGATGATAATACCAGCTACCATTAATTGAGTAGTGTAGTGTGCCAGGCCCCAATTTAAGCACTTTCTTTATGTGTACTGTTTCATTCAGTCCTCAAAATAACCCTATGAAGTCAGTGTGGCTATTCCCATTTTACAAAAGATGAGCCCAGGCTTAGTAACATGCCCACAGTCAAACAACAAGTAATTGGGCTGGCCCAGTGGCGCACTGGAGAGTGCGCCGCATGGGAGCACAGCGGCGCTCCCGCCCAGGGTTGGGATCCCATGTGGAGACCGGTTCCTGCTCACTGGCTGAGCGTGGTGCAGGCGCAACACTGAGGGTTGCGATCCCGTTACCGGTCAGTAAAAAAGGAAAAAAAAAAAAAAAAAAAAAGTAATTAATGGGGTCAAGATTTGAACCCAGGAAATCCTAAAACTCTTAATCCTACAAGTCTGAAGTCATCTCCAGCCTCTATCAGAGAAAGAAAAGAAAAGAAAAGAAAAAGACAACACACAAAATCTTCTTCACTGAGGGCCAGCCCGTGGCTCACTTGGGAAAGTGTGGTGCTGACAACACCAAGTCAAGGATTAAGATCCCCTTACTGGTCGTCTTAAAAAAAAAAAAAAAAAAAAAATCTTCACTGAGACACCAATTATCAGGTCAGAAGAAAGGGTCCTGGGTGAATTGAGTCCTCACAGAAAAGACCAGGACAAATCAGCACTGGAAACAACTGACTGGGAGTCACCAAGGCTCTACTTCACATCCGCTTTCTCCAAAAGCAGAATTTTTTTAAATGTATATCCCAAATTATTTTATTGCTTATCTTCTTCATGTCCAGACCAGAGGTCTGGGCTCCAAGGGAAAGACTTCAGGGATTCACTTTTATGGCATCCATAGCTTTGATCAGTTTCTCAAAGGGATTCAAGAAACAAATTATGTATGAGAACCACTAACCTAGGCCAAGCTAGATGACAGTGTTACTTCAGATTTAAGGGCACTGACTTGGGAATTTGACAACTGTGTTTAAATACACTTAATTGCTAGGTCACTTGAGCAGGTTACTGACATCTCTGATCCTCAGTTTCCTCACTTATAAAGTGGAAGTAATAATAACAATTATCTAGCTGAACTTTGGCAATCACTGGAAGCCAGTTTTATTGCTTCTGATTTAATACACAAAGCAAACCTAAACCCAAAGATCTACAAATAATAGTTATAAAATAAATATAAAATAAAATAAATAGGGTGATAAAACCATAAAATTTCAGAGCTGTAAGAGACTGTAGATCATCTAAACCAGTGTTACTTATATAATTATGTATTTATATTTAAGTTGTATTGGCTTCCATTTACAGTGGTGATAAAGATAATCTGAAGAAAAATAATGCACAAATACTAATACACTAGTATACAGTATAGTAAGCACCTCATCCTAACAGAATACCTAAAATCTGGGAAACAGTAATTGACTCCACGCTCTTATTTTAAGAGGTTACATGACCCGTTCAAGTAGTTGTTAGCAATAGAAGAGCAGTTAGTAGTAGAGCTGGACGTAGAAAGAACAGAATACCTAGTTTCCCATCAGTCTCTCCTCCAAGTTATAGGGCTATTCCATTCCATTAGACAACCTAAACAACTCTTCAACCCCATCACTGCAATGTTTCTTTCTACCCCCAAAATTCTTGCCCCCCCCCCAAATAGCAGTAGGCAAATTGCCAGTCAGCCAAACGCACCTTCCTCAGATTCAAGGCTGAGATACAAAATGCAAGTCCAAATTCTATCAGGCTTGGTCAAGAGGTTCTATTCTGGGCAAATGATGAGCAAGAACTCCACCACTGGTTCAGACCAGGTGGGTTCAAAAGCTCTAGCCCTGCTGGCTAGAGCTGTTTGACTCTGGGCTAGTGCTTCCCCCAAGCCTCTGTTTTCTCGTTTGCAAAATGAATAAATGCATATGAGATAATTCATGGGTGAAGCAGGGCCTGGCATAGAGTATGCCTCCGCGGCCACAGGGGCAGCAGAATATTCACTGCTACATCCTCAGTGCCTAGTGCAGTACCCAGCACATAGCAGGCACACTAAACATTTACTGAGCAAATCATAAGACCAATTAAAGCCGGCCTGAGGTTTGGTCAAAATTCCTGGGCCCAATATATAAGTGGGCCCCTAACTTACTCCAAACCAAGGATGGCCCTGGGCATTGACAAAGGAAGAGACTGTTCATGTTTTAGGTAAGGCACACCCTCCTGCAGAGAACTTGCCTCTGAGAAGCTTTGTTAGTCGCATCACAGTCTTGCTTCATTTCACCCCAAAAGACTGGCACTTGCTGCCCTGGCATTCCATTGTCTCCTCAATGAAAAGAGACAACAGAAGCAACAGGCTCACAAAATGACATCTCAGGCTCTTAACTTCTGTAAGTCTCCTTTAAATAGGCCTGTGGACAATTCTCACAGGTAGAAACCTACTCTGCTAAGGCAACCTTTCTTGGCTGAAAGATACCACCTATTAAGAAATCCATCATAGAGAGAGAAAAAGTAAGAGTCAAAGACAATTCCACTACCTGCCTTCATGTTGCTCCTGATTCTCCAAAGGAAGATGGACTGAACTATTTTTAAATGGGTAGACTGAAAAGACATCGAAAGACATCCTCACAATCCAAGGTGTTCATCCCCAAAGCACTCGTATTTGGCCAGAAAGAGAAACTCTCTGGCTCTGCAAAAGTCCAGCAGAATGCAAATTTCATTTCTCTCTTTATAACAAAAGGGAAAAAAGCAAAAATGGTTTTACGAAAGGGCCAAGAACCTTTAAAATGAGTCTAACTTCTCCCTTCTGAGTGCGGACTAAAGACATTCCATCTCAGACCTTCGAGTTTTCAAGGATAATGGGAGAGGCAGAACGAAGAGCGAGGGAGGGCACAGGGAGAGAGTCAGGATATGTTCATTCTATTTTTAAACCCTCGCCCACAGTTTAGAGTAAAGGAACACTCTGATTCTCTACTCCCACCCCTATCACCTTCTGCTAAACACAAGAATCAGAACCTGCACGCGTATATGGCACTGATTCTAGATTTGAGGATTACTGGCTGCCAATACTCCAAGGAATCGCGAGCTAACCAACCACTCCACCCAGAGAACCTGGCGACCCTGACTCGGCTGGAGCTGCGTACAAGGAGCGAAGCAGTCACAACCCGCCGTTTCCCGAGGGATGGCAGCGCCCCCTTGGCAGGGCACGCTCCATTCCCATGGCTGGGCACCCAGGGGGGAGCAACTCTTCCTCGAAGGAAGCCGGAGTCGTGGACGTGCGGCGCGCCGGGCACTCTACTGCCATTCCCGGGACACCTGTGTGCCGCGCACACCCGCCCGCGCTGCCCCAGAGCGCCACTCTTGCTCCGTCACCTCCCGGCCACCCCGAACCCAAACGGCTGGGCGACGGGTCTTTTCCCTCATCTGACGGTTGCTGGCTCGCCCGTTTTACGTATCCTTCCTGCCTCAGTAGAAGCACCGACACCCGTCACTCAGTGCCCCAGGGGCAGAAGCCCGGCAGGCGCGCGAGAGACCAGGGCTGAGCGCCGCCCCACGGCCCCTCCCGCCCCGGAGCCGCGTCCCGCCCGGCTGGGGGCACTCACTCTTGAGCGCGCTGATGAGTGACTTCCCGTCCTTGATGAGCTCCTTGATGAATTTGTTGGTCTTGTCCAGCTCAGCTTCGTGCGACTTGAGCGTCTCTCGGAAGTGCGGGCTGTCGAGGCAGCAGTCGCTGAACTCCAGCGCGGGGAGCCCCATGGTGCCCGCGGCGCCCAGCCGGGGGGCGCGCCTCCCCCCCCGGCCGGCACCTCCGACGGCTGCCGGCTCCACAGGTGTGGCGCCGGCTCGCTCCCCGCTCGGTGTCCGCGGGAGCGCACGACTCTCGAACCCAGCCGGGATCCTCCCAATGGGCGGCTGCTCCGGCGGCGCGCAACGCAGCGGCGGGCAAGCAGGAAGCTCAGTGCCGGACCCGCAGCAGCACCGGGAAGCGAGCGAGCTGGAGAGCGAAGTGCAGTCGCCGCCTCCCCGCCTCCTTCGCTTACTCGCTCTCCAACAGCCTGGAGCGCCCTCTCACAGCAGCCTCGGCAGCGCCGCCGGCGTCCGGGACGCTCGAACCTGCTAGCGATGACCTAATGCTCGCCACACCAATCAGCGCGCCCTCCTCTGCCCGACCCCCGGGCCGTCCAGAGACGCCCGACCCTTCCGCGGGCTTGATCCAATCAGAGAGGTCTGGAGGCGGAGCCTGGGGCGGGGCTGGGGCCCACGCCACCGCCTAGGTCCGCAGAGCAAGCTCCACCCCCTCCCTCCAGGCCGGTGTTGCAGACTCCGAGTCGTTGGGGTGAGTGCTGCTGTGCTTGGTCCGCCGCCGCCTGGGACCTTGCCTGCCTGCTGCGGCCCAAGTCCGAGGTGGTAATAGTGCGTCTACTGGTCTCGGGAAGTGCCGAGCATGAAAAATCTGGGAATTAGGGAATGCAGGTCACCACAGCCCGCCCTGCACTACTGGGCAACCGAGCTTGCACTCAAAAAACAATCCTCTGCCGCGGGAGAATCCTGAGCGCCCCGAGCGACTACAAGCTCCTCTTCCAGCCAAGCAGAAAATGTTGTTTGCATCTTAAAATTGTCAGCTCTTTTTGCCTGTAGTCCTCCCACCCCCTACAATCCGTCCCTCGGCCACTCCTCAAAACCCGCCCACTGCTGCTCTTGGCCAGGATCCATATCTTTACGAGAATTTCAGCCGCCGTTATCTTCCTGCTCAGCACCTAGCACAATTTTACATAATTATGTGCAATGCCTGTTGTCCTTCGCTACTCGGTGAGCCGCAGGAGGGCACGTGCCACCGCAGTTTTCTTGTTCGCTGTTGCATTTCAACACCTAGAACGGTGGCTAGCATTAAATAACGGATGTTAAACGCTTACCATGTGATATGTATGCTGCGGTGATTGATAAATATTTGTGGAATAAATGAATGAATCCTTTCCCATGTCACTCTGCACCTCCCACCCACAGTGCGTTGCCCGGTCGTCCCTCTGTTCAAACACAGGACTCACTTGTGCCAGCTCACTCAGTGCACTTGGCAGGCTGGGTCCCACAGAGTGTCTAGTGCTGAATTGTGAACTCCTCGAAGATAGTGACTGTCCTTGAATAAATTATTTCTATGTCCAGGAACTAGCAGCCCTCCTTCAGTTAAGTGGGGTTTTTTGTTTGTTTGTATTTGTTTGTTTTTAAATAAGTCTGCTGTGTGCAGGCACTAGCCTAGATACTAGAGATACAAAGATGAATAACAGAATGAACTTGACTGCTGTTCAGTCAGTGAGAGAGACAGAAACAAAGAAGCAATAACAATGCTGTACGATAAGTTAGGACAGAAGGCCTGGATGCTTGGGAACATGGAGGAGTTTTAAACCCAGAGGTCAGAGAAGGTGTCCCATCTATGTTGAGAAATTGATTTATTTACTAAATGCATAAATAAACGAATAAATGTGGTCTATTTGCTAGTTATCTCTACAAATTTAGGCTTGGTAGCAGGCCCAAATAGCTATTTGATAGATAATTACAACCTGAAAATAGTCGTTCTTCACTTGCCATGGATGAGAAAGATCTGGAATGGAAAATCCATAAAAGTATCTGTTTAATGCTTTATCTTGAGCCCCTAAGGTAAGTGTTCTAGTTATCTATTGATACATAACAAATCACACCAAAACTTAATGATTTAAGGCAACAGTCATTTTATTTTCTCTCCTGATCTCAGTGGGTCAGGAATTTGGGGAGGGTTTAGCTGGGTGGTTCTGGCTTGGGGTCTGTCCTGTGATTGCAGTCAGATGGTGACAGGAGCTGGAGTCACAGGTGGTTAGCTGGGCATCTCCCTCTCTTTAGGTGGACTTAGGACTTCCTCACAGCATGACAGCCTCCAGGCTCTAGTGTGAACATACAAGCTCACGAGGGAAAAGCTGTATCATCTTTTATGAACTAGCCTTGGAAGTTACACTCTTCTACCGCCTTCAGTGGCTGCAAGCAAGTCACAAGCCCACCTAGATTTAAGGGGAGGGGAGTTAGACTATGCCACTAGATGGGTGAGTGACAAGAATGAGAAATATAATTTGTAGCCATCTCTGAAAAATATAATTTCCCACAGTGGGCCTGGCACATGGTATTCAATAAATGTTAAAGGAATGAAACAAAAAGAGATCCACAATGATTTGTTTTATCCCATGATGAATATTAGGTAAATGTATAAAATAATATATGTATTAATGATAATAATAACAATAATATATTAGCTGTCATTGGTTAAACTTTTAGTTTGTGCCAGGCACTATGTATTTATATACATTTAATTCCCACAAGGTGAGACTTGTAATCCCCATTTTTCAGATGGGAAATTGAGGCCCAATGTTGTAATTTGAACCAGGTTACCTACCTAAGTCGTCTGTGTGGCACATACATGTACACAAACAACTTAATATGCCCATTCATGGACAAATATGTAAATATGTGTATAATGTGTACATTTCTTATCAATATAATCCACAATTTCACCAAAGAGCTCCTACACTTTTGGCAGTATTATCAGAAAAAAAGAATCAGAATGCAGCAGTATTGAGTATAGAAACCATCACTGGAAGGTGCAGTTGTCTCTCTCCTCCTAGAAAATAAGCTCCTTGGGGTAGGGATTTTATGTTATTCAATGCTGCAGACTCAGCCTACATCAGCCATTGGTACTTCAGAGTTGGTCAACATCAATGGGAGGGACACAAGTTTAATAAGGAAGAAGCAACGACTCATGTGACAACATAGGTTATGGCCGTGCCATGCAAATAGAAGAGAACAGTTAAGTCCCAGAAACCACTTTTATATGAAATATAGAAATAATTTAGACAGAGTGAAGTCTTTCTTGAGGAAGTAACCGCTTGAGCTAAAGCCGACCCAAAATATAGAAATAATTTAGACAGCATTATTTGGCCTAAATTCTTTAGATGAGTGTTTGAATTCCTTCAAATTAAACAATTAGTCCAAATAGTTCAGCTTTCAGTATCAATGTATTTTAAATCTATGTTATTTCCGACATCAGTTGTCCAATTAACTTTACATCTGCCGTACAATTACCCCCCATTTGTAGAAACTTCACCACTGTCCAAGAACTCCCATATATGCTGTCTCTGAGCTCACATAATCAGAGGAGGGATGGCCACTCACTCATCGCTTCCTGAACACAATCTTGAGAGCAGGGCTGATGCACTATGAAGCATTCATGGGTCCTCATGTAACTGAGAAGTCCAGGAACAAATCTAGCTTTGAAACAGTCTCTGGAGATTTGGATGATGATGTTAGCACAAGGTGTCTCTCTCCATCCCTTGAGCTGACCCTTCCTCTATGTTGGCTTCATTCTCAGTGACTCTCTCAGCTTCTCCATACTTACATCCAGCAATATTAGCAATAAAGGAGTTTTCTAAGAATTCCAGCAGAAATGACAAGGCTGGAGCCAGGGATAAAACAGCCTCAGTCCAAACACATAAAGCACTGGGGGAGAGCTGTTCCCCCAAAGGACAAGCAGCGTTCTGTTAACAGGGAAAGAGGGAATTGCTCCTGAACAGGGAAACAATAATGGGCAGTACACCTTACCTGTCCCCAAACCGCCTCAAAGTGAATGCTCCCCCTGCTGCATTCCCCATGGGTTTATAATTCTAGTTAGCGCTTATTCTTTTTATGGTCGAAACCATATGTTGCTTTACACAGTGATTTCTCCTTTGCATTATTACTGGATGATACCAGTTTTCCCATTTTAAAATAATGATTTGGGGTTGATGTAAATGTTCTATAGCTCAATTATGGTAATTGTTACACAGGCACCTCATTTGTCAAACATCATGGGTGCATTTTATTGTATGTAAATTACACCTCAATTACAAGCTGATTTAAAAAAATAGTGATGGTGGTGGTGCTGATGATATTTATTAAGCTTTTTCTATGTATTAGGATCTGTGCTAAGCGTTTTATTACATTTCCTCACATAATGTTTACTGTAATCTTGAGAAGGAGGCACTGCTACTGTAACCATGTTACAGATAGGAAACTAAGGCTTAGAGGAGTAAGGTGCCTAAATCACATAGTTACTGGTGGAACTAGGCTTGGAATTCAAATCTCTCTGTCTTAAATAACTATCTCTGTATAAAATGTCTATAAGAAGCACATTTTATATATTTAAAAAATTAATAAATAATAGTATCCAAACACCTGAAAGTGGAATGAAATCACACATGAATGAGAGAGGAGATATCATATTCTGAAGTGTATGTGTTCTTGCAAGACATTTTGCTGCTATGTCCCAAATATCAATAATTATACAAGCCCCTAATTTGTTTTGGCTTTAAATCCCAGGCCCTACAATTTATGTAGGAACAATTGACTGAAGTATACATGAAATTCTCATTTTTCTTGAAAAAAGAAAGAATATTCTTATAAAGCTTTGGCTCATGGACCTTTAAGGGAGCACTTATTTAACATTCTTTGGCTCAAGAAATTAATGAAACTCATATTATTTGTACTGCACAAGTCTGTTTTATATATTAGCAATATTTTTATTTCTGCTTTTTATGATTTATTTATTTTATGCCTGCTACTTTTCTACCTAATAGCCAATCTCTCTTCCTTACTCAGTTATTGATAAAGTACTTATATAATTTACTATGTACCACACACAGTTCTAAAAACTTTGCTAATATTAACTCAATTAATCTCTTAACCCTATTTTTATCTTATCT